TTTTCTGAGCCCAGCGTAAACCAAACGCTAAACTTGAAATTTATGAAGCATTTCAGGATCGCTTGACTTTTTTAATCGATTAAAATAGTTTAGATTAGCTGTCTCCAGTAGCTCTCGGCAGATTAACGTTGTTTTGGTTTTGATCTCAACCAATCACAACGCACGATACTTATATCCTGAATGGATATCTCCAGGACTGCTTATGGTTTCATGTATGCATTCAGTTTCGGTGTATTATCAGTCTTTTGCAGCAGGGATTTGGCAATCACACCCTCTGCAACACCACACCCAGAACATTTAAATTATGAGGAAAAAACGTCAACAGTAGGAGGGGAGTTGGTCCAAAATTGTTCCACCATTCCAACAGGGCATGCAGCCGAATAAGATGCCAAAGAACAGCATATAAGACAAATTGAGGATTTAGTTATTCCTAATATTATTTTATTACCATAACTATCATTAACTTTGGCGTATAAATTTACCATAGCAGGGCATACTAGAACTCGAAAGCTGGTCCGAATGACTGATCATTTTTGTTGTTAATCTTGCACCAAAATTTGAATCACTTTACAAGAGTCTGAGATTGCTCACTCAGATTACCCTTACTCGTTTTTCACGCATCTTTTCTAAGTTAACAGGTTGTTCCTAAACAGAGCTGAAATAGCTGAAATCATTGAGTCCTTTCAAACCAAACTTGTAATGTCCCCTTGACGATCAAAAACCACCCCAAAATAATATAAACAACGCTTATCGAGAGATTACAAATAAAGACAAAGGTATCAAAATTCTTTTGCTGTTCAGATCTTGTTTGATGGTTTATTTATTTATTTTTGGTTGGCTTGAGGAAAGCGTCGCATAACGGCCGGGAGTTTTGGGAACTTCACGCAGGCTTTGCTTTAATTACCTTTCAGAACCTGTTTCTCAGGTGAGGTTGCATTTACGTTCTTTATGATATGTCGAGAGTAATTATTTCTTGTCACTTACTATTCCAGTTTTCAAGATTTGACTGAGACGCGCGATGTATGGTCTCCTCAGGTCCCAACACTTGTTTACTTAAGGTACCGGAAAAATTCTCGACAAAAGGGAAAAGTAAGAGGTACAGCTGTACTGCCGCTATGTCCCATTTTCTGTTGTGAAGACGTATTTTGTAGGTTATTTTAGTCTATTTCATGTTTGCACTTGACGTTACACTCGTACCTTATAGAGTCTCGTTATGATTAGGTTTGTAGATCAAGGTTCATCCATATTTTGTATCGACAGGTTTTCAATGCCATTATTTTCCTTTCTAAGTAGTTTTTCAACATAATTGTCATATGTTAAAATTTGAGTGTCAGCCCCTGAATTGGGCACGTTTAGGGATTATCGCTGACCGTGATTGTTACCTACATCAGAGTTCCTGTTTTGGTTTACGGTAGAGCCCGGTGGTATCAGCTGTCACGCTTTCATTGGTTTCTTGCTCATGTCATTATTATACCTTATAGGTTTACTTTTTCCACCTTGGTGATCAACAGGAAATCCCTAAACTCATTAGGAAAGTGCGTTCGTTACTCTCATTGTCGGCAAGCCCGAACATTAAGTTATTTATTAAGCCTTTTTCGCAATATTTGCGCAGTTAGAGTGGAGTGCGGTTATGTTGTAGTTATGTTCAGCAGCAGTCGGAATGTGATGCTGTAGAAGAAAACATATGATCGAACTGCTGCGAAAAATAAAGAATCCCAAAATGTAAGCTAATGTAAATCAGGGCCGAGTTGTTCAAGCTGAGTTAAGATAACTCAGGGTTAGTGCGAAATTTGAATTCAGAAATAAAAGCTTAGAGAGTAATTTCAGTTTTATTCTTTTTGTAAACAAGTTGATGATTGGATGCTCTTAAAAATAACAGAGAAAATTATCCGAGAAATTAAAATGCTTTTGAACAAAAGAAATAGAAACCCGGGTTAAATTTAACCCTGGGTTAAGCGCTAATCGGCCTTCGAACAACTAGGCCCAGATACCTGGTACCTCTAAGTCAAGGGAGCGAGTTGCTCGAACACCCCTTCATTTGTCATATAAAGTCAGCTTGTAACAGAAGGCATGCAAACTTAAAACTGGTTTCTTATATTACAGATTAATAGTTAAAAATTTTACAAAAAATTTCCTGTCCTTGTTTTCAAACCCTTTTCTCGGTGGTTGAAAATGATACAAAATTGCCCTTCTCGTGATCTTTAAACTTCGGCATTGTAAAATTAATTCTTTGCATAAGATCACTTACTTGCATAATAAGAGCACTCAAAGCCATCCCCCATAAAACCTTGTTGAAGGTCACAAGTGCAAGTGAAGGAACCACGATTATTCGAACAGGTGGCAAAACGATGGCAATAATATTTGTCCCTGCTGCACTCATTCAGATCTGTAATGTACGAAAGATACCATGTTTAGTTACTGCAATTACAGCAGCTATCAATTCTTTAATTACCGTATTTATTCGATTAAACGCCGCCCTCGAATAAACGCCACGTCATGATGCAGCGTTTGTTCCAATAATAGACTCAAAAAGTAAATGCATGCAGTAATAATCATGTTTGAGCAAGCCTGAAAAAATTCTTTTCTTTGATTTTAACAATGCTTTAAGATCAGTACATTCGAAGCTCAAAGGAATATAATTAACTTTATTCACTTTATGTTTTCCAGTAGTATATTAACATGCAAATTGTGAAATTGAGAAAGATATAGATAATGACTTTAGTCAGACAAGCACTAAAACATGTTTCTGTTTTTAAAGTTTAAATGCTCAGTTACCATACTATTGTTTGCAAGAAATAAATGGATATTAAATTAACGCCGCACTAGCCTGCGTTGCAGCCGGCCCACGTACTCGTCTAAACCATTTGTATAGTCCGTCTGCGAATTAGTGCACAAAAGCTCGTTCTAATATCCTGCAGAGTCGCAAGGACATATGTGAGCGTTTCTGATAGGCGGGTTTCTTACGGGTTTCTTACAAGCCGCACGATTGGCCTAATTTTTACGTGTGCGTGACGGTTGGGCGCAGTGACATGTCAATTAAAATTCACAGAAGGGAGTTGGCAGGGATCTTTAAGAGTAATCGAAAGATCAGTTCGAACTTTAGAGCCGTCTTCTGAGCAAAAAAACGCTTTGAGATAATTCCTTCAAGGCCAAAATTTGCTAGTAAATTTGCCGGCTGGTTTCCCAGCGTCTTCCAATCGCTGCAGATGTACTATTGCGTATTCTGTAATCTAGCCGACAGTTCTAGAGTCAAAACAAATGAAGAAATCATCACGTTATTCACGATAAAAAAAAAAAATAAATAAAAAAAACTACACACATGTAGCTATTCAGGTCCAAGCGTTTCGTTGAAAACCATAGACACTTAGGTTATTTAGCCGCAATAAAGAAGCTTAAGGCTTAATCAGAGGTAAAAGAAAATCATTTATGCATTTGTGATCAAACCCTCTTAGAAAACATTTGCCAAAAAATAAACTACAAAACTAATTACTCAATATGTATGAAACAGACCAACTTCACAACCTCTAAATGTAGCTAAAGGTGAGACTCAAAGAGGCAAAAAAAATTTGCTCAGTCAAATTGTAGAATACTCCATGCACTGTATAAATTACGCAAAAAGAGAGCAAGAAAAACATCTGTTGTTCAAGCTACTCTAGAGGTCTCTAAAGTCACGTTTCACACTATCACGAGCTCAATCTCTCTGGTCACGAGCTATGAGTCATGTTTGGCCTGTCAACGCTTAATTCAAATCGGACTAATCACAAACTGCGAAAGAAAATAGCCAATCAATAACGCCGACATATATCCATGCTACTCTACGGGATTCGAACACGATATTGTGCACTAATTCGCAGACTCTCTATACAGAAGATTTAGAGTGTCTGCGACGCAGGCTACGCCGCACTCGAATAACGAAAAATTTAACAAACGCCCCGGCGTTTAATCTAATAAATATAAGAATTTTGAATTATAATTAGAAATTGTTCATAAGCTTGTCATTTACTCATTTGTTTCAGTTGGCGTTCAATTTCACCTGCGGTTTAAATTTCTTTTCTTTTCTTTTGGGGTATGTTATTCAGGTATGATAATGAGTTTGAAAAAAGGGAAATAAAATTTAAACCAAGGACAAAATTGAACTACAGCGGGTCATATTCCGCGGTGTAAAAACCTGTGAACCTCACCAATGACGTAAAACAATTAATACAAAGAAGCCACTGCTAAGTCAACATAATAGAGCCAAGGGAAATAATTCCTTACACAAGCATCCTCGCGAAGACGCGAGGCTGAGAGGCGCAAGCCTAATAGGGCCGTGCGAGATACTGTTCCAGGGGCAGAAAAAAACTCGAATCGATGTAACATATAGTAATGTAAGGCAACATTTACGACGTAATGCAGAACAGAGAATGCATTGTTTTCGAGGGAACACGTGATAGTACAGAACAGAGAATCCACGAGTCGTGTGAGTGCTTGTGAGTCCTGTGTGCATCCTTCGTGTTCATTCAACCAAGTATAGTGCAATGTACACATACATTAAATTTTCTAAAACAGGCTGCAATATTAAAAATATTGTAGGCTGTTTTATTTAGCGCGTTTAGTATATATTCCCCCTGATAATTTCCCTACTGACAAAAGGACCGCTCCCATTTTCCACAGACAGTTGTTTTGGCATCTTTAAGACTGCAATCGTTGATTTGATGAAGAGAGAGAACAATAGAATTTTATGAGGATCAGTAATTATTATAGTGATAGGACTGTGCTCATGCGTGAGGTACTCGCCTGGCAGTAGAATGGTATATGAGTGCCCCTTGCTTTAAGGTCGCACCCGTCTCAAGGTAATTTTCGCTTATGCGATCGAATTAAGTTCAATCTATTTTTTATAAATTACTGTAATTCATGACATTTCTAAAAACACTGAACAGTGCGCGCGTGTTGCTGGTTTTAAGTGTCACGCCATTCAAAATAGATCAAAATAAAAATCAAAACCGTTCAATAGATAAAGTCCAGATCTGCGAAATGAAAGGAGGTACATATACAGAGACCCTCGCCAAGATTCAGGTCAGAGGAATATTTCGTATACGAGCTCGAGATATCCGAAGAAATGTTTTACCCAAACTTATAGAGACTTAAATAGTATAGAGACGCCTTGCTGGTGTCCACCTGGATGAGCTCCAACATGGCGGACGGAAACCAACCCCGGGGGGGTACTGCCATATATGGGCTATATGGGTATGTGCCGCTGTGAAGAGTATGGTTTTCAAGCAGTTTACTCTAGGATAGGGTATATAAATCAGAGCGTTTGGGTCTAGAATAGGGTATCATTTTTCACGAAACTGATCAGTTGGTTGAAGATTTTATCTAGACTAGGTAAACAGCTACTCTAGGATAGAGGGATTTTGGGAGTTTACTCTAGTATAGGGTAGCAAAATTCAGCTAACCTAGCTCTGGTATAGGTCAAGGGTTCCACGGTCCCAGCGGCACATCCCCACCCCGGGAAACCAACAGAAACATCTGTTACCGAGTTTTGCTACGGAAGCGCAAATTTTTTCTTCGAGAAACTCATTCATTAAAGTAATACTTTTTCTAATACATGAACTGTTTAGATAGCAAAATTTCCTGAGATAAGTCATTTTTTTAACCTACATGACAGCTCTCTTGGCCGTCATGTAAATGCCGCGTCACGCAAAAGCTTAGAAATTCAAGCGTACTCTATCACAAAATCAAGAACCCTTTTGAAGCGAAAATTTGTATGAAAATTAGTTTTCAGCTGCTCTAATTCATCGTGAAAGCAAAATCACGGTAGGATCGATAGTTTTTTAGTTTCAATTTTAGTGATGTCATGTGAAAACCAACAATAAGTAAAAGCTTTGCTCGTTGGCACTTAGCGATAGCTATAACTAGTAGCTACAATATAGAAAACAAAGAAAAACTTCACAGGTTTTAACACTAAGGATGACCCACCGCAACATATCCATCAGTTCTCTCATTGCATCACTTAATTATTTTTTTTCAACTCTTTTGTTTGCCTCTGTTTAATGACATGATATCATTTAATCATGTAATTTTTCAGAGATAATAATCTCTTTTTATGACCATAACCTTACACGTAAGCATACATTAGAAACTATACCTTTCTTGCAAGTATACTGATGACAGCCACTGCATTTCACGTCATTCCATTCGTATTTGTATTCAACACCAAGTGTATGCACACAGTCTTCATCTCGAAAATTGTTGGGTTGGTTTTTGGCCCAAGCTGTAAAGTTCCCAGTACCACGATCTGCCCAAGTAAAGGAGCCCTCTGTGAAAATATCATTCAATCCCAGCCAGGATTTTGCTCCATTGTGAAGATGCTGTAAAAACACATTTTCTTCATTGTTTTGGACATCAATAAGAACTGAGTTTTCTTGTCGGCATTTATCCAGTGATGTGGTCCAATTTTGACAAGTCTTACTTGTGAAATAGCAAAAGCCGTTGAAATAGTTCCAGCCAGGATCACAAATATCTAACAAAATGTAAAAAGGAGAAAAGATTTAGATTGCTGATATATAAATTATTATATAATAAATATGATTATGGTCGGATTGATAGATATTAATTATCCTTAGCGGCACTTTTGTAGGAGTATTACTGCAAGGGTGATAAGAAAATATATTTAAAAATAATTAACGCTTTTTTCGGGGCAACGAGTAGACCATCATCATTATAAATTTTTATCTTGAGGAGAGTAGGAGTGGTGTTACAATGATGAAAGAAGGTTCACTTTTTCAAATTAGAGTAAAAATTCTGAAGCAACACTAACTTTTAACGTTTGTTCGATGCATGATAGTTTTCATTTCGGCAACTGAGGTCTTCTGTCATTATGAGTTATTAGGGACCTTAAGATCCGGCGACGGCGACGACAATGAGAACGGCCAAAAAGCAATAGGTTTAATCATAGTAAAACAACAACTATGCACGTGCCATCACGCTTTTTTCTACATTTCTTAGCCGTCGTTGCACGACTACAACAACGTGAAAATACCTAGTTTCATGTTTTTTAGAGGACGTAAACAAGCAACGACGACATTTTCCTTCTCTTTCTCGGCTTAACTGTTATAAGGCTCTCAGGAATTCAACTTCAGGAGGAGTAGCGTACTTTCGACAAAGTAAGTGAGATGGAAATATCGCGATGAAGATTGAAAACTCCGAATTCACTTTTTAAGCGACGTTTTACCTGCCGTCGCCGTCCTCACATCTTAAGGTCCCTAATTTCTTTGAGACAAGGACTTCAAAATGGTACCCTGCGACTAGACTGCAAAACAGTCCGTATTTTTGCGTATTCAAGTAAGCGCGAGCAGTCAAACAAAAGGTGTGGAACGAGGCTGAAAACAGAGAGCGAGACTGGTTTTTTTCTCTCGCCTCACGCCCCTACGGGCGTGTGAGGCTCGCGCGGTTCGCGCGCATAAGAATCTTACGCCACGCGTTACCGATTTCTTTACTGATTTTGAGGAAAAAACCGACTGTTTTGCAGTTTACCCTACGACTGGAATTTTGTTACCCTCTTGACTCTCACTCGGCATGACTTGCAAACCATATGCTTGTGTTAGTTTAGAGCACTTCCAAAGTATTTATAATTCCTCATGAATCGGGTAAGATGTTTGCCAAAAACTACTTCATAAACGAGTTCAGTACTTATTACAGACCTGTAAGCACAGCATAACTGACGGACAAGGGGTCATATCTGGTCCCGTATACTTCCTTGACACACACTCTGAATCCAGAGGTATTCATGTTCTGAAAAAATAAACACTTAACGTAGCTGGTACATTTTATGCAGTTGTAACCATAAACAACTGGGTTAACGTGGAGTGAATGTTAGAATAGTCTCTGAAATTAAACCTTTCTCCTACAGTCTTTTTATGTGACATAAAAATGCAAACATATTCGCCGTAACTGAAAACCGTGGTTTGATGAAAGCTTGCAAAGACCGCTAGAAAATTAAAAGATTGGAAGGTTTAGAAACAACAAAGTTATAAAAGCTAAAAGAATTAAAAGGTTCAAATGTTATCCAAAATATCCTTTTTTCCCCTAATAATGGGTATGATGGTGGCGCAGGAGCTATAAGAGCGAATGCACAGAAAAATCGAGCAAAATCGGCAAATCGTGGCCACAGCTCAAAACCTAACCTACCCTCATTTTAAGTCTGTAATAAGGTTTTAATGAATTTATAACACTGCTGAGGTTTAATTTTCAAAATGCGGCCGAGTTTGGGAATTATTTGAGATTTTCGATTTCAACGGTCTGCGGGCCTAAAATTAGCCCCCGAACACGGCAATATAGCCTAGCGACAGAAATGAGCTGACTTTCATAAACGAGCGAATATATTGCCAATCTTCCACTTAAATCTCAAAAAGCAGATATCTAACAATTTCTGAATGGCTTATTTTTTAGATTTAGAGTATAAAATATCGACGAACCAGCAGAATTTTGAAACGTAATTTGCATAATGCTTATAAATACAACAATTTACCGCTAAAACCAAAATCGAATTTTCTATATGGGGGAATTCTCCAAATCACCCCAAATCCCGCTTACTACCTAATGAGATACAGTACTTCAACATTATCTGAAAGTTAGTCTGGTGTTCTTGCGAACGCTTGTAAAATAGATTGATTATTTTGAAGTTATTTTGCCCCAAACAACTGCTAATTGACCCCAGGGTCAATTGACACGTGCACGTCACCTTAGTTTTATGCATCGATTTGAGCTCGTTAAAAGGGAGAAACTAACAAGATTCTTTTAATATGTACCTGTTTTAATGAAATACACGCAATCTTCAAAGGAGAGGCCGTTCAATGGGTAATTTCTGTTCTTGAGATCTTGAAGATTGCAGCATGGCGTCTGCGAGTGGACCTGAGTCTATATAGGTCTGTTTTCCCGTGACTGCGAAATCAGAATAACATCAAGAAATAATTCTGCCTCGAATCTTCGTAAGTGAATCAGCTTTGCAGTGCCTTACCTGAGATAAAACGTGGGCCAAATAGCAAAACATTTCTAGCGCAATTTGGATCCTTTGTGGAACGCAGTGTATTGCCGAGCGAAAGGTCAGTAAACAAACGTGGGAAAGTACGATACCTTTGATTGCGTGACCAGCCAGTAAACGATAGTCTCCAGCGAAAAATAGGATACGCAAAAATCTTGCTGATGTATATTTAACAGTTTGTTACTATAAATTTACACCTGGTTTGTCTAAAACTTTAAACAATGCATATCTGTCCAAGAGTATAAGAATGTTTCGAAAGATCCACCCCTAAATAACTGTGGGCTAGTCCTTTTTCCCCATCACCGATGTGCACTTCCTTCCCACTGTCTTTTGCATAGGGCTTGTATGCCTTTTTAACTGTTATCGACACTTAAAACTGGCCGTTTAAGGCCTGGTTTCAGAACTTGACTGACTTAAAAAACCGTCGCGAACATGCGCTATTATTGTTGGACTTTGGAAGCTTAAAAGCCCAAAATGATGGTGCAATCTCGAGAAATTTGCCCGGGTCTAATAAAAAGACATGGAACGGGTACTAAGAAAGGGACGGTCTCATTTAGCAACCCATGGACAATCTGGGCATGCTTGCCTTCTGTCGAAGGGGCAACCGTTAAGGCCAGGTGCGCCGCCCCCACCCGAGAGGATTGCATGGCATCCACCATTTCAGTCGCTTTTTCCACATCATGACCTTCAATTATCATGAATTATAAAGCGGGCCTTGATCGTTGCCACCTTACCAGAAGTCTAATCTTCGCACTGTTAGACCATGAGAATCTCTATTATTATTCCATAAATGCACCATTGAATTTTCCTTACTCAGCTTCCGGTAAACCGATACCCCGAAGCAAAAATAGCTTTACAACGACTCCATCGAGGCCAGAACTCCTGATATCAACAAATATACCCCCCCCGCCCCCTAAAGAGAGCAAACGTTCCCCGAACTATTCACTTGACCCACCCCATCCCTTCGTTAAGAAAAACTACGCGCTCAGTTCACTGGACAAAACGCGCTCGTGAATATACCAAACTATGGCCGAATATCCTACAAGCAATCTCAGTTTTCGCAGGCGTGGCCACGTTTCCAGTTGCTGTAGGATTAATTCGACTCCTGCAACAGACACTGTAAATTAAATAGCAGCCACAACGCCTTTCTTTGAGACCGTCAGGACGAGAAAGTTTATAAAAGACTTAACAGGTGCGGGGCGGTTTTCTTTTCTTCCTTCCGTCCCATTGTAGCACTCAAATTCTGACCCTGATATTAATTCTAGTAGTAATCAATCGTTCCTGAACCGATAGGCACAAGGATACCGGTTTCTTGCAAAATATGCTGTGACATCCGTTTGCTCATCCCCCTTTCTGCCTTCGGCCGCTGATTAGGTTTGGTTCTGTGCTTTGAAATAACTTTAGGAACGAAACATGATACGTGAGGGGCGTGTCTGGCTAAGGGCAAGTGGCTCTCGGTGGTGAAGACACATACTGAGCTTGTCAGTATTTCGTAACCTGTAGCACGTCGCGAAAATAGAACAAGCCAAAGAAAAATAAGACGCCTTTCTTTCCCCAGCCCCCGCAGGTTTTTCGCATTACTTTTTACTGCACAACTGATTCTACCTTTTCGAGCCGGAGCGAACATGGACGCCCTTAGGGTTAAGTTTCCACTTCATTTTCGGCACCTGACTAAACGCAAGCGCTGACTTGTGCGCCTATGCTTCGTTTGCACTGAAGTAGCAGTATATGACCACGACAGACTTGCTGCTATCCTTGGTTTGAAACCGCAATGGGCAAGAACAATTTCTTGAAAAGAGCAAACTATTTCCCCCTTAGCAGACATGGAGAAGAACTACTAGAAAAGAGAAAGCATGATGCTTTCTCTTTTTAATGATTTACGGCTAAACAGTACAATTTCATGTAGCTTTTACGCAAAATTGAATACTTAGTTGTTTGCAGATTTGCATTTAACAATAAATTACAGAAATTTGACTAAGTTTACATCTCATAGATAAGAATTGAACGAAAAAAACTTTTGGGGTAAAAAAGTAAAAAAATAATGTTTGATGGAAAATCACTTAATGGACATACAATAGGAGAGATATCATGCCTGTAATTTTCTGTTCAATGTACCTTATGACAAGTCTGACTAATCCACTGGTAACCCATGCCTGAAAACCGCCTTGAACCTTAAAATTTAATCCATTTGCCTGTCATGCGTAGTGCAAATATATCTTCTGAACACTCCGGGGTTAGGGGTAAAATCAGAAGAACAGAACATTCAGTTACTGTACCATTTTTAAAAGTGGGACAGTATGTTTGCTAATCATCTTAGTTAACCGCTTTTAAAATAGGACAAAAGTACACCTGGTCATACAGGAAAATGAATTTACTGTATCCCGAAAGCTTTGGTTTCACATGCACTTATTTTTCGCTGGAGACAATCTATAATTGCGTGGTCACGCAATCGGAGGTGAGTAACTGATACCGTACCCGTTTAGCAAATACACTGCGTGCTGCAAAGGATCCAAATTGCGCTAGAATGTTTTCCTATTCTGCCCACTTTTTATTTCAGGTAAGGCACTGCAAAGCTGATTCATTTACGAAGGTTCGAGAGAGAATTATTTCATGATGTTATTCTGATTTCGCAGTCACGGGAAAACAGACCTAGACTCAGGTCCACTCGCAGACGCCATGGTACAATCTGCAAGATCTCAAGAACAGAAATTACCCATTGAACGGCCTCTCCTTTGAAGATTGCGTGTATTTCATTAAAACAGGTACATATTAAAAGAATCTTGTTAGTTTCTCCCTTTTAACGAGCTCAAATCGATGCATAAAACTAAGGTGACGTGCACGTGTCAATTGACCCTGGGGTCAATTAGCAGTTGTTTGGGGCAAAATAACTTCAAAATAATCAATCTATTTTACAAGCGTTCGCAAGAACACCAGACTAACTTTCAGATAATGTTGAAGTACTGTATCTCATTAGGTAGTAAGCGGGATTTGGGGTGATTTGGAGAATTCCCCCATATAGAAAATTCGATTTTGGTTTTAGCGGTAAATTGTTGTATTTATAAGCATTATGCAAATTACGTTTCAAAATTCTGCTGGTTCGTCGATATTTTATACTCTAAATCTAAAAAATAAGCCATTCAGAAATTGTTAGATATCTGCTTTTTGAGATTTAAGTGGAAGATTGGCAATATATTCGCTCGTTTATGAAAGTCAGCTCATTTCTGTCGCTAGGCTATATTGCCGTGTTCGGGGGCTAATTTTAGGCCCGCAGACCGTTGAAATAGAAAATCTCAAATAATTCCCAAACTCGGCCGCATTTTGAAAATTAAACCTCAGCAGTGTTATAAATTCATTAAAACCTTATTACAGACTTAAAATGAGGGTAGGTTAGGTTTCGAGCTGTGGCCACTGTTTGCTCGATTTTTCTGTGCATTCGCTCATAAGGCCCAAACAGTCTGGCTAAACCTTGATCCCCGTTGATGAAGACAGCAAATGACTTGTTCCAAGAAAAAACTACGGTAACGTTTAAACCCGAACCGTCAGATTTAAAGTTTGAGACCACCGCGGCGCCTGAGTATTTAAAGATATTATTCAAACTTTAATGAATAATACCTACATAATTACATTCGCGATCGAAAACATGAAGTTAGCCAATAAGCAATCTCAAATTTTCTTGGTCCATTTTGAGCCACATCTATTATCGACCTATACATCGCCTCAAGCGTGACTCTGTTCAGTTTTATCTTTCGTCGAGCTTCGGTTTAAATTTTTTTTGCCAGGACACATCCCTACACATTCGCCCCATGACGGAAACTTTTACCTCGATCCAAGTTGTAATTCCGTTGTGGATCGGTGCTGAATTCCCAGATACTGTCGTGCTGTGATTGGCTGAGACAAGCACTGTCGGAGTCGAGTTATAAGCTCTCGTGAATGTGACGAACTGCCATGGAAGAGAAACATACAACGTTTAACACTGTTTCCTTTAACTTTAGTTACCTTAGGTTGTGTTTATTTTTGAAGTCTTGGACAAACAATATTTGCAATTAATCATTTTAACAGAACGAACTGCCCTTTTAATATTTTGATTAACGTTTTTCAAACATTATTTTGTGAACCAGCTTCTTAGCTTTTCTGGTTACTTTGATCTCTACCACGTACAGTTTATATGACTATAGGTGTTTTCAAGATATAAACAGTGATGTAAGTAAGCTAAATATTTGTGACGGAAAATCCTGTGAATAGCACGCTTATGCTTATAATTTTGCAAAGAATTCTTTTCTCACCTCACAATAAGCATTGTTCATTTTATCCGAAGGTGGGTTCGTATTTGGAAAACTTATGACGCCATGTTCAGTGAAAAGAGGCTTGTGCAGTTTGGAGAAGGCAAACCAGTTCTGTGAAAAGAGGAAAAAGCAAAAATGATGCCACCCATACTTGTAACAGTCTTGTAACATACCCACAGAAAATTTATTTAAAATCAACTGCATTTTCAAGGCCCTTTCAGTGAACCTAAGCATTTTGAACTCTATAAATTTGTGAACTAATAAATAGCGCAAAAAGTCAAGGAAAGGTTGCAAATCCACAATTTTTTACGACATCGGGGGAATCGCGTAAAAACGTCAGGAAGGGAAGCATGGGGACAAGGCAGACCAATTTGCGTGCTATTTAAAATTCACTTCTTGTAATGATATTCAGTTTTTTTTCTTCTTTTTCTTCTTTTCGTTATTATTATATTTCTGTTTCTTTTTAAGTTTTTCTTTCTGCAGTTCCCTTCTTTCGACTGAACCATCACTCGCCCGGACGATCTTTAAAGTTATCAATGCCATTTCATCTTACCCGCCCTGTTATGGTTAACAGACCAACAATCCTCACAAATTTTGCAGACAGTCGCGTTCCAGTTTCTAAGAAAATCACTAAGAACGTACCACAGTGATATCTTGGTGTCTACCGTCAAAGTTTTGCATTTCACGAAGACAGACTTTAACTGAGTCCTTAGTTACGTCCTCAATCCAAATGAGAGCAGCATCATACTCTTTACCAGTCCTCAGGTGCTCTGACGTCACAAGGACTATTGGCGCCTCATCAAACTTGCCCTGACGAAAAAGCCAAAAAAATACGCAAAAACAACTGAAATCTAGTTAAGATGAATATTGCTGCAAAAATTACACGCAACTAATCGCTGAGTAAGTTCCCCTTCTTATTTATTACCTAACCTTGTCTTGTTATTTATTGTAGCAATCGTCATTTTTCTTCTTAGTTACCTCGTAATGATCCGTTATTTTTTAATTTAAAGACAGCGTGGATTAAAGCTGTCGGGTGAATGAAAGTCTAACATTTGCCATGGGGACTTGCATCAATTAATCTCTCACCGTAGGAAAAGTCACATCTGCGCAGTTGGTACCAGACCACCATTTCTGCAACTCAACCGTTCCCGTCAATCCTTCGGGTGGGGCTCCTTGATAAGCCACCCAATCAATGGTGGCAAATGGATTCGCAGGTTCTTCTTTCCTCCCGGTTTGCATGACACAGACGGTGAAGTTTTTTGTGTTGATACTTTCTGTCCATGAAGTAACAGCATCGTGGACTGTCACAGAGTCATTGAGCTTCATGTGATTGACGGTTATTTGAACATGAACTTGCTTATCCGGATAAAACCGGTATGGAGGAAATGTGACTGTCTGACAGTTTGAATCTGACCATTTTGGAACCTGTAGCAGATCTATACGGCCCCGTACAATTGGAAAACCTGTTTTATAATAAATTAAGTACTTTATAAGGAAGCATTACTGTACTCTTTAAGCATTATCGCTAAGGTCGTAGCTTCATTAGCTTGCGTTGTCCTGTAACTCTAAGTGGTGAAGGGTGGTAATAAAAAAAGCGTGGAAATTGAACTAGAACTAGTAGGCTATAACTTGTAATGTCGGCTACCCTCAACAATGAAATGTTTAGTGGCTGCTTATTATTGCATGCTGGTTGCTGGTTTCAGTGCCCAAGATAAACATATGCCAGTATAAAGATAAACATGTGCAATACTGGAGGAGGCCAACAAAAAAATTAGAACTCAAAAGCGTACGTGATGACATGTACGCGTAGGAGCGTGCGCCACTGCGCGAAATATTTGATTTTCAGCAAATTTACTCAGTGCTAATAAGGTGCAAAAAAAAAAAGTGCAAAAGAGGATGAAATCAAGGGCAAAGATAATAAATACTGCATTTGCCCTCAAATATGCAAATCGATGTAGACTGGTATGTAAATGTGATATTTACCACCTTTTCTTTGACTTCGTTTCCTCCTCTTTTGCACTTTTTTGAACCATATTTGCCCCGAGCAAATTTGTATAAATCTAATTTTACGCGATAAAAACTAGATTGCAAGGCAAAAGAGAATAAAAGATCTTACACAGATAAAACATCGGCTATAGTCTGGGCTGTTATATGTTTGTTTGCCAAAGTAGAGAGACGAAGTAGCTTGTTACAGCTGTCTATTGTTGCTTAGCCTGCGTGAGGAGTTAAAAGTGAGCTTAAAAGTAACGGAAAGTTATAAACATCCCATAGCTAGAAGCCAAATTGAATGCAACTTTGAGCCAACAACTATAATTCTAAGCAATCGAGAGCTTTAAAACTGCCAGACTATTTTATGTGGCATATACAGCCAAAAAAATCTTTGAAATTAGTTTTCGTTACCTTCACAGCTTCCTGGGTGATAGACCATATTATTTTCAAGTCCTCTGCAATAACTTAACTTATGCCAGCATCGGTTGTCGTAAGTTGTTCCATTCGCAGTGCACACTGGGTCTTTATATGAAGGACATTGGTCATCGCACTCACACCGAGCGTCATGCGCACTGTAGGTTCTGCAGACCCCAAATCGAGGGCAATGCATATTAAGGCAAGGATTAAGATCTGCACCAAGAATAAAAAAAACATAAAAATATTGAGTGGTTATCTATTCGGAAAAAACATAAATTTCTAATATATTTTTCATATTTGAATTAAACCTAAATAGCAGTGACATGTTTACATACCGGCAACTCAACCAATTATTTTTATCGTTAGTAGACCTTATTAACGATACCCGCCATCTTTGCACGCGCTTAAGGCTGATGATATAAATTAAAGCAGTGTTACGTGGTTTCTCAGGGGACAAACAAGAGATAAAATCTGCAAATACAAATCACACAATAGAAAAGAAGTTTCAACAATAAAAACGAAAATCGCAAAATATGGGTGGAAGTGATTTTGAATGCAGTACGCGACAGTAGAAGTCTTCACAGCAAGGAATTATGACGTAAAACTTGTCGAACTTTACATTTTGCATTTTGCATGACTAGAATCGTCGTCTTATTTTGAGGGAATAAACAAACTCGACCGCGATTACTCGATTACTCGTCTTGGCAATTTTGATACTTCTCTGCCCTCTAATTGCTCTTATTCCATCAATCCTTAAGTGCGTGCAAAGGTAGAGTGTAACATGAATAAGGTATATCATTGTTTGTACTCCAGCGTTTCGTTAATTGTATCATCATGAAAAGTTTTCCTACAAATAAAAACTTCTAAAAGATATCAATAAAAATAAAAACAATAATAATAATAATAATAATAACAATAATTCTAGAAATAGTGATCATTACAATAAGAAAATTAATTAACAACCTCCAGTAACAGCGTAGCTGACAATCAAGGGATCATGACTCGATCCTAATCCACTGAGGTCTTTAACGCATATCCTCATAGATTCTAATCCAACCTACAGCAAATCCATAAGCAAAATCCATAATTTCTTCTTAATTTCTACGACGACAATACAAGTCATGAAATTTACGGATCAGATCCAAATTATCTGTTTCTTATGGCTCTTTCACGGTCCTTTTATCAATTTACTAGAATATACGGATTACTTCTCTTCCCTTATTGAACAAGAATAATCATCCAGTAAGGAAAACCCCATTTCGCGGCGCGTCTGTGGAACGAGTGAAGAAATCCCATAATGATGACTTTGCACTTCCCAGATCAAGATACTGCTCCTGATTGGTCGTGCCGCAATGGAAGTTTTCTAATCAACCAATCAGAAGCACTGCATGCCCAGTTGACACATCGTCAGTATACAATTTTTGCTATCGTCGTTCATCAGACGTCATTTTGTGGAAAAACTAGTGGTGGCGTAGCGTGAAATGCCGGCTTCTTTCTCAGGTTAGAATAAAAATTCAAACCTACCTCAACCCAGGACGATATTATATTATTTTCTGGAAGACGGCTTCCCTTGACCTGAATATTATACTCATGATTTACGGAAAGAATCACAATTGGCGATTTGTAAAAGGTCCTATTGAAAGGTACTTCCTGTAAATAGGTAAAAAAGTAATGTAGGTTAGTAAATGGATGTGAACGTGCTCACTTCTCCCTCTATTTTTGCCCATCATCTGTAAAGTCCCCACCTCAATTATTCGCCCACTCAACAGCGCGAAATTGAAGTGATTCGAAATATAAAATTCTTGCAAAGTCGCGAAGTTTAAAAATCCCAAAATATGCGCACATTCAAGTCGCGAGATAAGCATGTCACTTTCTTCTGGGAATTGCCATTTTGGATAAATTGTCGATCACCATGGCCTGGTAAATTTGGGTTTACTATATTAAGTTTTCTCTTGTGTGACCTCAACCACTGAAAATGTTCTGTGGCTTGCTAAATGTTCTTGTTAGAACTAAAGTTTTCACCTGACAGAAGCCGTAGTTGTTTTTGGCCGATGGATTTCCACTGTTTGGAAAGATTTCTTCTCCAGTTATTGTGAAATTAAGTTGACTCCCATTTCCAGTGAATGCGAACCAGTCCTGTGGACAAGAAAATAATGTTTAATTTACAAGACGAGTTGCGTCAGGCATCGAACGACACTTCCTTTAACAAGAAATGACTGCATGAGACACGTGAGACAGGACACTGACCTTAATTGTGTTACGAACGTTCTAGGTAATTGGTTGTACGGGCTGCCGAAGTGTGGCAAAGTCAAGTTATTTATTTATTTATATTTCATCAATATTAAAGTTTACTCGAGCATTTTTCTTCACTTACCACAACTGCATCTTGGTGCTTTCCATCAAAGGGCAAGAATTCCCTTAAGCACACTTCAAATCCTCCAGAATTGACGTTTTCTAACCATAAGTACATAGCATCATTTGGCTTAGTACTGCGAGTGTACTTAACAGAGACAAATACACGAGGCTTGGAAGCAAAGCTCTGCAAAAAAATGTTAGATATATGAAAAACTATTGACTGAAAAATAAACAAGCTTCTCGAGATATAAATCAACATAATCGTATCAATGAAGTGCTCAGTGGCACTTAAATGAAATTAAGGATTTATCAAAGGCTTATGGGAGCAGATTAATTAAATCTTTGTTTTAGAACTATAATTTCTGATACTATTTCATTTGTTTCTACTATTTAATTACGTTTTACATCCTGATAACAAAATTATACTCTTGTTATCAATTATTGTTATCTAACCTGAGAAAAAGCCACCTTCTCACACTTGGTTTCTGTTGTCCATATTCCACTAAAAGTAACGCTTCCATGCGTTAACATGGGTTTGTCCTGAAACGCTACCCAGTTGATAATTCCAGTGTTATTTGTAGAACCTGTTGCACGCGAGCATAACTGAAATCCAGCTGTACTTATGGACTCTGCCCACACAGCAGAAGGCGCATGAACAACTGACGACTGATCTTCGTGGCTTAATGACACAAAGACTCGAACCTGAAAAGATAAGCATGAATGAAAATTTGCAGGCGACAATTCAACCGTACATCACGAACAGTCTCTTTTTTTTCTTCTACCTTGATCAGTCCGGAATATCCCTAAATTTAAGGACAGTTGTGACGTCATGGAGCTCTTTTTCACGAAGAAAATGGCGGATAGATTACCTAAACCATCACAGTCACCGTTTCGAGACTCTCTGGCATATTTGTAAGACTTTTCATGAGGCATACACAATTTGTTTTAAGTGGACAACGTATCGAAAGCCATATTGGAAGTGTCTCGTGAAATATTCAGCACATTTTGTGGCTTATTTCTTCTTTTAAACAACACGATGTAGGCGAGATTTTGGTCGGTTTTCAAGGTTGGTGAACAAGTATCTAGTTTTTTTGATTTACAGATTTTTCTACGCCGTTCTAGATATTTTTCCTTAATTGTCATATCCATTAACGTCTATCACGTTGAACGTGGGGATAGTAGACAACCTAGAAGAGGGTCAGGATGGGGTTAACTGACAACTGACAACTCACAAATAGCCGAAAATTTAACTGACTTCTGACATTTGCCTGTCAACTGACAAAGGACCTGACAGTCCTTTATTTTCTACAAAACTTGTTCTTAAGGCCTTGAATAGCATTGTTCCACTCTTTTTATCGTATGATGTGATCAAATGTGCGTTTTTACGGGTAATCTTAGCAGCAAGACGCTTAAAATCTCATGTGTGTCACGTACCATCTGCAAATGACGTATGATTTCAAATTTACGTTTCTCTGAGAACGCGCCAGCATACGATGGCTACGGAACGGCGCCTGTAGATACGTGTCGCCCGCAAAATCGCGGGTCCCATGACTATTTGCGCGCTCACAAAGGGAGCCGACGCATGTCGCGTCCTTTGATTCAAGACTCAAGTGTTAGGGTATTGTTTCCACGATACAAAGGTAATTTAACTTAAGAAAATCTATAAATCGAAGCTTTCGCGCTACTCTCTGTTTTATAAGGAAATGAAAACGCTCAACTTGATAAATATTTTGACTTCATAACATATTTTAACAATTTGGGCCAGCAGAATGTATAGAATTCCAGGAAAACAATTCAGGAAGCCGAACGGTTTTGAACTTCGCTAGAAGTTATTTTTATCAGTATGCAAATCACCTACCCAATCACTTACTTTCCATCGAATTGAAATATCCTGACTTTTTTTTGCCACTTTTCGATTTGACTCGTTTCATTTTATATTATTTTGTGCAAGCTGAGTTGTTCATGCGAATTTACGCTTTCAAAAGGAAAAAGAAACTTCGAGGAAACGTTGTGTTTACAACCACGGCAATTTGTATCTATTTCGCTTCACTTACGCTTATATGCAAATTACCGTTCATCCGCCGGATTTCGCTGTAGACAAAAATATCGATTTTGAATTCCCAAATGCTTGCCTTTTGGGGCACCCCTTTTATTTTGGCTATCAAGATTTTAAAAGCTAAGCTTCAGACTTTTCATTCCAACGTTTTAATGCGGAAAAGCTAGGAGAAATGCTCCAACTGATTTAAGTCACGCAACACTCTTTAAGACCGCATAACTTGATCTTTCTGTTATCTTTTGTTCTTCTATTGTCTCCAAAACAATAATGATATTTTATCAATTTCCACCTACAAATAATAGGACACATTTGATTGACAGAAAAATTTGCATTTACTAGCGACGCGTATCTACAGGCGCGATTCCGTAATGGATGATGGCGTTACAAAGGCAATTAATTGCAGGGTTTTACTGACATGATTCAGAGACGGTTTTCTTGGTCTTCTTACGATCTACGTCCCAATATTATACCTGCCAGCTTTTTCTGAGTCAAATGCGTCAGATTTTTACCTTGTCATAACCAAGATTTCACGAAACGTCCCGGCGACTTCCAAAGATTTCCGACGAATTACCGAAGACTTCCGAACGTTGCCGAAAGTTAAAAGTCCGCAGATGTTCCAGAAGACCTGACGTTTGAGCACTTTCGAAGCTACTTAAAAGACGACACTTTTAGCGTGCTTTGGTATGATTTCGTTAGAACACAAAAAAGGACACAAAGTCATCATGTGTTAAGAACAATTTGTCCGGATTTGAGAGTCAGATGTGAGAAATTGTCCTTGATGCGTGAGATCCACAGACGCAAGACTCAAGCATAATGCGTATAAAATATTCTGAAGGTATAATTTTGATTGGCTTAACGGTTGACAATCTTGCACTCTGGCCAGCAAAAATGTTCGAGTGGAGAAAAGTAACACAAGACTTGAGAAAAGGGGGGTCACTTGAAATGCTTACAATAACAAAGCTGATAAAAACCAAGGTAGTATGGCATCAGTTTTCGAATTTAATGTTTAATTTACATTATATGTGCCTGTTAAGCCAAATTGCGCATCACAAATATACAAATAAGTTTCATAGTTAATTATTGATAGCTATTTAACTGACAGCTGACAAATAGCCTAAATTTTAACTGACAACTGACATTTGTGCCCCCCTATCCAGACCCTCCTAGAATTTTGGTAGACCATTTTTGAATTCCGACGGTCCAAAACTCGAACGTGTTCCACTCCCAGGTTTCACGCAGACATGGCAGAGCCGTGTTATTACTTTTTTTCGAATTAATTCGAGCCTTTGTCTTTTTTCTTTTCAAGGCCAAAACAACTTTATTAGTCTTATGGATATTCTCGTCCAACATGCATCTCGCCTCACTTTGCCGAATTTGCGGGAATAAAATTAAAGATCATAAGCGCAAGGTAGTTATTAACCGCTTTGTTTCTGAAAAATCACCAAATCTGGAAAGATTTATTATTGTTGGATTCTCCAAATGTTCATCCACAGTTAAAAAAATCAAAGAAAGAAGACAAATTTCAACTGTAAATGATGTAGTTCGCTACTCATTAAACATGCACTGATTATCTGGGATAAAATTAAAACATTGCAGGTACGACAACAAGCAAAGAAAGCACCAGATGCGTAAAGTCAACACGAAAGAACACAAAAAAACAAACAAGGAGAATTAATAAATTTGAACTACTTTTTATTCTTGTTATGATGACTGGTTCTTTGATTCTTGTCCTGTAGAAGTTAATAGGTAGTACCATTCCTGTTTTGTACGACCTCAACGTCCGCTGTTGTGAAAATTTTTGATCACTTGGTCAATGTTTTGATAAACACAAGCACACCTTCTACTTGGTTGAACAGTGTCGCGTGACCATTTGGCCCTGTCCTTAAATTTAGGGATATTCCGGACTGTTGATCTGTCTGTCGTGCGAAACGCGCGAGTAACGCAAATGACCACGCGCGTGACTGAAGGGGCGAGACTACCGCCCTCGTTTCTCGCGTGCGTCTGGTGGTTTCAATGCTCGTGCGCGCGTGCACTCCTCACACTAAATCTGAAAAAAAAGAGGATCTAATTCAACCCTCCATTCCCGGCCCCATTCCAAGGATTAAAGATCTTCTAGCCTATTTTTATTGTCAGAATTCTCTGGCTTTTTTGTTTTGTCTTGTTTTGTTTTGTTTGAAAACACTCGCATCCTAGGGATTAGGGAGCACTTGAGCACACCGATGCGCACTAAATTGTCTGAGGTCATAACATTACAAAGGCCACTATGATTTGTTAAAAACATTAGTTCCTAGAGAAGCTTATTGTGTTCTGCTAACAAAAGAAAGTTGCCACCAACCCTTAAGATTAGACTACTGTATTTCCTCGAAAAATAGCCGTCCCTCGATTAATCGCCTCCCTCAAATAATCGCCCCTAATCCCCACCCTTCTCGCTATCTTCTCTTTCTTTACCACCTCCCTGTCGAGTTAAAAAAACAAACAAAGCTGAAGTGGAATCTCATCCAGCAAAACTGATCACTGACGATTCAAGCTCTAACGCCAAGGATATTGAAATCGAAAAATAACCAAGGAACAGGATTGCTCTTGACAAGGAACCATTTTTTGAAAACTTATAAAGCCCATGTTTAGTATATTTTGATGTGATTATTTCTTTATTTTTATTTAACGGGTAACAAAAGAAAATATTTAGGGATCGACTTCCAGTGACCAATATTTGAAATAATCGCCTCCCTCGAATAATCGCTTGAGGCTATTATTTGAAGAAATACGGTAATTTTTAATTGCTTAGGGTTTACTTACTGTTCCAGATCCACTAAACGTCTGCGGAAATATCACGTTAGTGCAGCGTGGCAGTGTACAATGTTGTGGCGCCTCACATCCACTGTTGCAATTCCATCCTTGACGTGTCTCTGATGCGTTCAGTTTTCCAACCTGATAGGAAATGCCTGTAAAATAGAAAAAAATGTCTCAATGTAGTGTAAGTATGGGATGGAACGAGACGGAGTGTTGGTTGAAAAGAAATGAAGAGAGGCTAGGGGTGTGTCTGTGTTTATTTGAAAGGCGAGGAGAGATAAGCAACTTTCGTATGTTTTTAAAATGTGAGGACAGAAAATTAATTCTTCTTCATTTACTGAAGTTCTGTTTGAAAGACATCACCAAAAGCTGTACTTTTGCAAGGACATTGTGACTTTTCTTTTCATTTAAATAGCGCTGTAAAAACGTAGCTTGGCCTACGGTTCAAGTCCAGAGGTTAATAAGCGACTCTACTTTGGCGTCATAGGGAAAAGAAATATGCGCTTAAAAAACGTAGCCTAGCATTTTTTCACTTTTCATTTCCAGGCGAGGTGTAAAATCTTTGCCTTGTCGTTATGTGAAGAAAATTTAGGAAGAAGAAGTTTATATATACAGATATTTTTCATTTCAATTACTCAACATCAAGGAGGGAGGGGAGGTAACTCTATTGTTTTATTCCTAAGTTTCTTGACCCACTCTGCCTGCCAGTATGACGTCACATAGTAACGGGCAAGAGCCTTGAGTCGCTTGTGCAAATTAGAAAGGGATACGACAGTTATTAGGACGAGCGAGGTCGAGGAAAAGCTAAGAAGCTATCAGATATCGCCATATATCGCTAATTTGATCGAATGTGTGTGAGCTTTGGTGTTGCTATAATCTGCTTGTGTAAACCGTTTTGATATTTTGTGTCCGTAAATAATTGTATAATTTTGTTAATTTGTTTTGCGGGCCGTGCTGCGGGATCGCCGTCTTTTTTATGGGACCGGTAAGGACATCAAAACTTAAATCTTTTTTTTCTCTAAAATAGGCAAGGTCTAGTCTCCAGAATAGGAGGTTCTATTCACAGATCACACATATCAGTAACCGGCTCCTGACATATTAATATTTCATCTATTCTTTTGCTAATTAAACGGGCCTCACTCTTTATCAATCCTTTCGAGTGTGGGCCTCTGTTCATCTCCTAATTCTCCACCAAACTCAGTAAAGCTAGTTCGATCGATTATCTACATCGGGTCGGCCGGCGTTGAACCCGAAATAATGCGAAACAGCTTCGAAATACGCGCTTAAGCTAATTTTCCTCAAATTAATGTATATTTGAATTCATGATAAATACAGCTCCACCAGCTTGAAACAGCGTCTATGTTAGACTAAAAAATGGTTTCCAAAGCATGTGTGTCACTGTGGTGCAGCGGTCAAGGAGTTGCTTGCACTTGCAGATAAACCGGGTTCGTCTCCCGGCGACGCTGTTTTCTGTTTGTTTGTACCGTTTTTATTTTTTTTTCTGTTTAGTCTTGGTTTTTCCTTTTCGCCTGTTTTTCTTTATTCTTACTACGGACCCTGCTGGTCATGCACTTGGATCAATAGATATTTTAAGCTTAAGTCCGGAGTATTATTTTGGAAAAGGAATTTCAAGAGTTCTTGATCTGCATACTGGCCAAGCTTACGGCCAGAAAAAACCACAAGCTGTCAACTTATGTCCCCTCTCCTCTCAAGCAGCTGAATTTTTTTCAATGTTAGTTGACATCATGACAAACAACACACAGTACACCAGAAGACTGTACTAGTTTACACCCAACACCCACCAGTGATCCACTGGCGAAATTTAGACCTGCCTTTTGTACATCGTCTTAATTATCAATATATTACCGTAAAATCTCCACTGGGTTTGGCCCCAAAAACTAATTAAACGAAACCTTTTATTGGTTTTCGGGATTTAATTACACAATTACAGGTGTATGCCCAGTACAGTATGAAAATATGTTAAAGCAACAAGATTCAACGCTCAGGGTCTCTCACAAATATCTGTCATGTAGCTTCCTCTTTCAACGCTACAGCTAAGCTAAGCTCTGAACAGCTGAAAATACGCACAATGTAACGAATAAAAGATCCTTTGATGAACCTCCTATTGCTGTGTCTAAATTCCTCAATCTTGCCGTGCACTGGCCCTCAAAAATATGACCGGTCCGTATGATTGCCCGTAAAATTTGCTCAACGATAGAAAGGGATCTTTAAAATTTCTTACACCAGTGGACGTTTCATTCCAAAAAAGTACTAAAGTCTAGTTTTCTATGACAAGAGGGACCTTAAAATCTCCAAATCCAAGAAATCGGAACAGCATTTCCGTGATAAATTCGAAATTTTTATCTGTCTCTTCGATGAACACTTTGCTCGCCACTTTGAAAGTCACTGACGCGAGATGTGTGACGTCATACTGGCAGGCGGACTGAACCACCGATTTCCTTGGTCACCCCTCCCCCCCGCCCCTTAACGCTCAGCATGCTTTTCTGAAATTGTACTGAACAATTTGGCGAATGGCATTCTCGCCTTGAAGGTAAGTATCTTTATGCAAATTTTGATATCATCTAGTTTTTATATTGTTTTTTGCTTTACCTTTATCATCATATTTCAATGTTTCACTCTTGATTTGGACAATATTTGATAAAGATCGCGTCGATCCAAATGGCAAACTCGAAGAATAGCTACTGTAATAACTCTCTTTAGATTTTTTAAGTCCAATTTTATCTCCCCTAGCTCCTTTTTTCGTTCATGTTCAATTACTCCACTTGTTGAGAGCAAATCTAAATATTTAGATTAATCAAATTACCGTTTTGCTACGCGCCCACACGCAATATGTCGAGTAAGCTCGGTTCCTTGCACCAAAAGGGTAGCCCGCGAATGACAGTTATCTCTGATTGAATTAAAACAGAGCTGCACGGATTAGGAAATATGGACATCGGTAGAAGTGCGGAAATGACTGATTCCAAAATAGGAAAATCAAAGAATAAAAACTCGTTTAAGGTTTTCTGTAAAAGGTGGGTTGATGAACTGCCAGACATCACTATGGTCTTCAAAAGTTTGAAATGGATTAAAACTTTCGCGTTGGATCAGAATGTGGGTGTGGAGTGTAAGGGGCAGGTTTATTTTCAGAGATCTCACCCCACTGTCAAAATCTTATGTTCTAGATCTGAAATCTTCAAACCGTAGGTCTTCTGGGGATATGAAATATCGTATCAAGAATCAATCACCTGTCTGTGCTTAAAATTTTGTTTCGTTTTCCGTCAATCCAATTGGTAGCCCGCTGACGGGAACAGACTGTACTATTTTTGGAGAACCGAGTTACAACAAACAAATTAGTCCATCGAAAACTTTGCAATAGAATCATTTTCTCGAGATCGTGAGATTTATAGAAACTGGCACATTAAATGAGATGGAAAAATGCATCCATCAGAGACTTTGACCTTAGTACTCTAGTCGCAAGCTCGAGCACTGAGTTAGTCACTTAAACGAGAGGGAGGGGCTTGTTGTGTTCCCCAAAGTTGTAAATCAGAAGAACTAGGAAAATCAAAAATATTAGCTGTTAGACCTTCTGTCTTTACATGAGGTCTAAATATGTACATGCAGTGTTCCTTAAAAATAAAGAACAAAATAGAAAGTCTTCGATCGAGATGAATTGCTTTTCAAGAGATGAAATTTTAACAATTTTCAACTATGTTACAAGAAAAAAGTAATATTTGCCCTTTGTTAGGTATAAGAACGCACAAATGCTGATTGCCACGGCCTACGATGAAAATAAGAGACTGGCATACCTTTTACAGTTAGAGGAGAATCCCCAGGTTTAGGAGAAAGACAAAAGGTGCAAATTTTCTGAGGTCCATCTGGCTGCTAAACCTAGATGTAATGGCCTGTCGACATCTGGATGGGTTGTTTCATAGCGGTACAAACGTTTCCTCGGCTCATATTTGACAAATCAGCCATGTATACCAAATCCTCTTAACAAGTAAAAACAAGCTGATTGGGTAGTGAAAGTGCAATGTGATGCAAATTTTAATTTTTTTTTTACAGTTGATGGTTTGAGCCGAGGAGTCATTTCAAACGTAGGTGGAATGTGATCGTCTGGGTTGTGTGGGAGTTTAAGTCTTGAATAGGGTTGTTGTTGAGACGTTAAACCGACGTTTGGCAGTCGTCTTCAAAAACAATATTTTATTTGGCTTTTCACAGTATGACAACTTTAAGTAGCCGTGCACTTAATCATATGTTATGCTTTAATAGAGCGAATTTCATGTCTTGCATATTAACAAGAAGAACAAAAGGGCTCGCCAACAGCTACTTCTGCCAAGTATTTCATCACTAGATTCAAACTAATGAAAACCGACTGTCTTATGGAGCTCTGGGCACACTCTTAGAATCACGCTGTCCGGCACTTATACTATGCTGTCCGGCTCATATACTATGTAAATTTAAGAGACAAAGGCACGCTTTCAGGAGTTCAACAAAAGAAGTGTCGCTTTGGTCCCAGAGTGCAGTGCGAGAGACGGCCCTGTCGGTGGAAATAGTTTATCAAAATATTTTAAGGACAACTCCCTCTAAAGCAGCTTAAAAATATTCCCACAATTAACAGTAATTGTAGATATTTGTAAGAGCAACGTTTATCTAAAGTTTGTTGCCAAAACTCTAGTTGTTTACCCTGCATAGGGCCAGTTTAGCCGGTCAAACTTTAGATATGACACCCTTGGCAAAGCGAAGCTAATTTTATCCTTTCTATATGCATGCGGTATTCCACGTAATGAGTCTTAAAAGACTTTATCACCACCCACACATGCACTACGTTTCCTGAAAGAAAGAAAAACAGTGGATCCTGGAAACTGTAATTAGATAAACCCTCAACTCTTTTCTTGGTCATTCAATGCTATCATTGCGAACGCACTCGTTGTTTCGTAGTTTAACTTGTTAAATGATTCAGTGATGATAATTCTTTTAGAAAACTGTCACTTCTTTCCGAAAGCCAAATAAATGTTAAGGGTTTTTGGTGATGATCCGTGGTAAGTGTGCATGGATTATGTTTAGAAAACTTTCGCTCGCCGCACGCAATGCCTTTCATGGCACATTCAGGAAGTATTTTTTCTGCGGCTTTGAAACAGTCAGCAAAGGGTAAGCTGATAGTCCACAGTAAGAAACGTGATTCTGATTTTCCGACGTTATAGAAGAAGATCTAAAACAGTCATTAAGTAGGAGAAGCTAACATTAGTTCAGGGTTTTTTTTGTGTTCTTAGCTAGAGGGATATGTCATATTTGCGTGCAGTCTGTATCAGGTGTAAGCTAATGTACACAACCGCAACCTTTTCGAAACCACGTGCACTTAAAAGTAGAAAGGCTTACTTAGAATAAACCCCCTGGTCCTACATTCCATGGCATTCTACTTTGAACTTCCACATATCAAATGAGTGAGCTGCAAGCACTGCAGTCAAACTTAACAAAATAAGTTAACAAAATAAGAGATAACGTCTTCTCAGTCAAAGCTAAAACCGCCTTTGCGAGTATCGGATATTCCGGGATGTTAGTGCTCCCTAAAATCCACTAGTAAGTTTCAAGAGAGGTTAAGCATAACGTTTACGTCAAACGCAAACGCGAATTTGTGCCACGTGACTAAGTTTCCCCTTTACTTGTCGTTTACTGTTCATTATATCTACACAAATGTTGGTAGTTTCACGCAATTTTATATCCATTAGATTAATTAGAATTGTTGTGAGCTGTTTTTATCCGCTCACCTTCTGTTTTGACAAATTCTCAACTTGAATTTGGCGTTTGCCGTCCCTCTGTCACTTTAGACTTTTCTCCCACACGAAATTAGAAGAATCTAACCGCACCGACAATTTTTTTTTGCGAAATCAGAGGGCACAATAAACAAACCCACACACAAAATCCAGATTGAAGACAAATGTTCTCGCATTTTTGGGTGCAAGCCAAAGTAAGAAGTACAGAAGTTAATCCTTTTTTAAATCTTTATTCACCGTGCTCAATGGAGCAGTGGCAGCAGTTTTTATTCCGCTTGTTGATATCTTTAACAAATTTTAGAACACATAATAAATCAATGGCTATAATCAAGGCCCTGTGTGTCATTTTTCCCCATTACAAGTTATAACCTGTGTTTCTGTCCTTACAAAATATGAGCTTGTTTGATATGCCTATATCATAATGTCCATCAATTACGTAACATCTCAAATGAACCTCCTATTAAATAATGACAACAATTTTAACTTAGATAGTATAGTATCGTAATCATCATCAGACTTGGTAATCCATCTGGTGGCTCTTCGCTGTACAGCCTCTAATTTATCAATGTTACGTTTAGCATGAGGCTTCCAAGTTTTCCATGAATATTCTAATAAAGGTCTCACAAGACCACGGTAAAGTGTTTTCATAGTATCAATGTCCTTTAAGTCCCTGCAGGTCCTTTGAACCAACCCTAAAACCCCATCAGCCTAAGCAGTTATTAGTTATCAACTTGTTGGTTTCGTGAGAGGTCACCAGCAGTAAACAATCCTAAATCTTCACATTAACACTTTCCAAAGGTTGACTTTCGATATTATATTTTTTTCATGTCGTCACATTTGCTTGCAGTCTGTGTGAGGTGCAAGCCAATGTACACAACGGCAACCTTTTAGAAACAACTTAAAAATAGAGGGGCTTAATCCCCTACGTGTAGCCTGCGGGGCAGCTTTAAAAGGGAAAGGAGAACGCGGGAATTGGTTGCGTGAGAGCGCAAAGGGGCGCGCGAGGAGGGGGAAAAATGGGAAAAGAGGGGAAAAGGTTCCCGTTTTCAACATCCTCGCGCGCCAGAATTCCTGCTTCCCCTTCCCCTTTTAACACCTGCTACACAGGCTACCCCCCTTAGTGAAACCCTGCATTCCAACTTCCGCATTTCAAGTGAATAAACCTCACACTGTCAGGCTTTAAATTAAAACATATGTGGGAGTTAACATCTCATAGCTAACCTTACACACATTGGAAGTCCAGTTTCAGACTTTTCAATCCAACATGTACACGATATTCGGAGAATCTAGCCACACATGTAGTAAAAAAGTAAAACTCAGGAGTAAATCATTCTATTTTCCCGGTTAGACTTAATTTGACAAGATCTTTTCATTCTGCAGCTTTTTTTACCGAGGTACATCTTAATACCGCTTAATCGACGATTAAGCAGTCTTTAGACTGAAGGAATCACGCTCCCAAGAACTAGCAGAGGAGACCTGAAAATTAGAAAACTAACTCAAACAGTTGTTTTTCACATTTAAATGGTCTTATTGATCCTTTATTTTAGGTCATGTATGTTGTATGCAAGTTTTATGCGCGACCAGAGAAAATATTTGACTGATGACAACACTGCTAAAGCTCTCTTATGCTGTTTTCAGGTCACCTAAGTGTCTAACACTTATTAAAGTGAAAACAAAATGTGAAGTCCCATCACGATAACGATAACCTGTTAGAGCAAAAAACGAGAGTGAAGAGGTGGCCGGCTTACGTTATTTAGGTGGGTTGAATTTATCTTTTCGGGCAACTTTTTTTTTATAAGGGTGGTTGATCAGTATCTTAACACATTTATTTCCTTATAAGACGATACGCCGAGACACTCAAAAGGCATTTCCTCCTTATTTGCTAAGTGGTTTATACCTATCCAGACCTTTAAGGTTAATTATCGAATGTGAGGTATAAACTGCTAGTCGAGACAATAAGTCTGGTCAGATTTAAAAATGCATTCTCCTAGCTGGTCATTAAATAACGTATTATCATTCACGTATAGAAGCTTCTCCTAACCATGCAGTTCAAAACTGCTTAACTAGTACAAAAAAAAAAACAACAACAACATCAAAACACGATTAACACTAGTAGGAGCATCATGCATGCAGTCAACGTTTTCTACGAGGAACACCTTTAGGGCGCGCACTGAGTGTCCGTCTTATAAACAGTCAAATAAAGGGATCAGAGAAAGGAAAAGAGCAAGTGTAGATGTCCCTTTTACCGAGATACCCGTCTTATAGAAAATTCCCTTAAGAGAGAGTGGACTATTCTATACCAGAGACAGAAGATGGGCCACCCAAACTTAGAAAAGAGTTTACATGGTGACCAGAAAATCATCTCTCGTATCATGAGGACTCCACACTGCGATCAGAGCCTCCTTAATTTTATCTTCTTGATCGAGGAGGAGAAAAGGAGGCCCTGTCTGAAACGCGTCAAGCCTTTGAGGTCGCCGCAGCCCTTCGTATTTTACTGTCTTACAAGATATCAATAATCTTGAAACTTAAGAGTCACACAAAAAGAGGTTAATCTTGAGAATCTGAAATTTTTAATAAAATGCATCGAGCGGTTTCAAAATTATTCGCTTATTTGTTTAAGAAGACCAAAAATGTTTACAAAAGAGAGCGCCTCAGTACATACTAATCAAATCCTTCTTTCTACATCGCTCGCTTTCACTCACGTTTTTAAAGACAAATAAAATTTCACTTCAAAAGCGCTTCGTTTTCTATAGATAACGGCCGAACATGAACTATAAAACTGTTTATGATACGGTAACCAAAATTACGAAGAGTGATACGATGTACCCAACATTTCCAACACCTAGGTCTACATGTAACTTGATTGACACAATTAAGTGATTTGACGTTTTTATGATACGGCCAGTTTTCTTTGTCGCTGGAGAAGGTCCTGTTAGGGCAGGAACCCAGTAAGGGTAAATTCCGACAATCGACATAGCCTTTGAACAGCGACAATGGAGCACAAATGGTGACAAGTTACACAAAGATGGGTTGGAACTGCGACAGCGACAGAGAAAAGCGAAAAGACAATAGTAAAATACCGACAGCGAAATGGATTCCTCC